TCTAGACTGGGGAAACAGCTACTCTAGGATAGGGGGATTTTGAGAATTTACTCTAGTATAGGGTAGCAAAATTCAGCTGAACTAGCTCTGGTATAGGTCAAGGGTTCCAGAGTCCCAGCAGCACATCCCCACCCAGAAATTCCTAAAGTGCCCCCGGGTATTTTAGTCAATAGAGGGCCTAACAGACAGTGTAGGGTTGGCATGATGCAGGATGAAAGAAAATTTAAAGGGGGGATGTGGGATGGTCCGGAGTTAGCAGGAAGCAGGAAGTTCGTTTGCTTGATTTTAGCAAGGTGGGAACAGCTAAGGTTGTAAATATTTGTGTTAGCCTAGGGTTGGAAAGTCTTATGTAAGGATATCTGAATAAATCTGGGCATAGATACTGATTCCCATAATTGTTTGTGATTTCTAGTTTGGTGTGACAGAGGGGCTTTGTCAAGGTCCATGCGCTGTTCCCCGATAAAGAAAACTTTTGTTTTATTTGTCAAAACTTACCCAGAAGAGGAAAAATTAAATTTCACAAACTAAACTGACTGCCATTGTTTTTTCGTGAACATTAAAGACCAATTTGTAGTGATAACCCAACCTGAGAAAACCACATCCAACCGGAAAAAAATGTGACTGTAGCGGGATCGGGATGACACATCAGAAGCAAGTGGGATAGCGGGATATGAAAGAAAAAACAGTGGCGGGAAGCGGGATTTGGAAATCCTATTTTACGCCATCTGTACAGTGACACAATATGTTGTCTGTTAACGCAGGAATACAGTTGAACCTATTAGACGGCCAGTATTTTAAAGTCCCAAAATTATAGATTGTACAAAGAATAGGAACTTAAACCTCTATTTAGTGGCTGCGGCCACCTTTTGTCCATCCGAATTAGAGATCTCCTGTTGTTCTTACCTGTAAGTGGCCATGAAGTGTTTGATACATTTAGTTTGGCTTTATTTCAAGAATATAATGAAGGAATTAAATATGCTCCGAGATACATGTAGAAGGCGATGACTGATTGTGGACAAGTAATGCTGCTTCGATCCGTGGCATGTTTGTTTGAAAATAAAGTGATACTTTATGCTAATTTTTGTTCTTGTCATGAACAAATTGAGCTCTCAAATGGAGCTCCTGTTCTAAACCCATTTTCTTGGCTATTTTTGTGTTATTTGAGAGCCATTGGGCGGAAACCTTTAACCTGTATATGTTGTAACCATAGCTAGTTTTTTAAAAGTTGTTTTGGTGTATTTCCCTGCATCAAGTATGTTCATTTCTCCATATAGTGTATCTGGTTATTTACTTAATTTGTTTTTTCTTTATCTTAGCTGTGTCACCATTGTGTTAAAAAAATCATTTTATAGCTAGGCGCTAGCTCAAAAACATTAGTAAATTTAGCTCCACCAACATCCTTGCTATCATAAGTATCGTTTTATGTAACAACTTCTTCTTTTCTTCCCATTAGCCATCCAAAAAAGTAACATTCTCTAGTTGGATGTAATAATAAAGGTTGATGTTTTTGTTTCTGGTGTAAGATTATGCTCATGTTGTGCCATTTTGTGACAAACCTCCATTGATCAGCCAACCTTCATTATTAGCGACCACTTGCGCCAGTACTTCAATGGTGGCTGCTCTATGGAGGTTCAACTGTATTGCCAAAATTAAGGATACTTGTACATGCACATGATGTGTGTCACACCTGTTTGTATTTGTTTGATGTTAATGGTGATGGGTATTCAGGATGTAGTCCTCTTCATGTTGCTGCACAGTCAGGAAAAACAGAATGTGTGAACAGAATCCTACAACACAAGGTTCATGTTGGAACACAGGATGGCAGAAAAATGACAGCACTTCATCATGCAGGTTTGCATGTGTTAGTTTGTTTGTTTGTTTGTTTTTTCAAATCATAATACAAATTATAATTATAACATAGCTAGAAAATTTGCCTAATCAAGTTCAATAGCGTGAGCGTGCTTCATATTCCTATTGAGCACGCTGATGACAGCAATACTCGTAATTCCTCGCGTTGTTATGAGCTTAGCAATCCTGAGTCTCTTGAGTGCATCCATAACTCAGCAATAGACAATGAACCGTTTACCATGTGTTTTATAAGGAAATTTAAGAGGAAACGTTTGAATTTGTTAACCGATAGTAAGGAAAAGAGGTGAGTGTTGTTGTTGTTGTTGTCATCTCGGCGAGCTGTGAGGGCTATGGCGTGAGATCATTCTTTGCAAAGTTGTTTTCTCTCAATAACAATTTTTTGTTCCGGCACCTAAATATGGATTTTACAATCATTTTAGAGTACACTTTCTCTCAGTTTCAGGATAAAAACATAAGATTAACTGTGAGGAAAAAAAATATAGTCACGTAAACATTGATGCGTACTGCTTTGAGCGTGCCCTACAATAATAAAATTTTAAGTTAACCGCTGCATTGATCGCTTTGATAATGTTATAAAACAATTAGTTCATGCTGCAGCTGTGCGTATGTCGAGATATTGAGCACTTGGGAAGTTTGGAGAGCACTCAAGAGGCTAGAGTTGCACTGGGCTGTGCCTCGTGCAACTCTTACGCCTCCTTTGTGCTCTCCAAACTTCCCGCGTGCTCAATATCTCGACATACGCACGCTGACGCATGAACTAATTGTTAATTATACCATGTAATTAAGTTTAAATATTCTTCATGAATCATGTTTCAGCACTTTATTATGCTTCATGTGGGTAAAATACATATACTTTACATGTTCTTTATGTTTTGCTTTAGCTGCTAAAGGTCATAAGGACTGTGTTGAACTTCTTGTTAGCAGCAATGCACCTTTAAATGGAAAAGATAAGGTAAATGTTTTGTGAATATTTTTACTTTGTGGGTATTAACAACAAAAAGATATTGTAGTATGATTGTTCTGATTTTTAAAATGCCAGGAATGTGGAAAAAATCAAATTACAACAGATTAATTTAATTATTTTATTATTAATGAATACTTTGAATGCTGGTTAGTAGTTACAAAGTTATGAGACATCATAATGTGTTGACTGAGTTCTACTCTCCACTGATACCTCCATTACCAATCGAGAGCTCCCTCATTGCACAACAGACTGCATGTTCCACTTAGAAGCCAGATTTAAAAAGTCAGTAATATATGCATTTTGTTGATACTTCGACCTAGGCACACAAACTTCTCCACCACATTTAGGTGCAACACTAGGGAGGCATTGACCTAGCTAGTTTTACATGACTTGCTTAATGTATACATGTTAAACAAATTGTTTTGTTTGAAATAGTTGTTGTTATCGTCTGCCCAATCTCACAGTTTAAATATTTATGAATACATGTACAGGCTGTATGGAGTAAACCTGTATGGTAGTTTGTTTAAAACCTGTTTAACTAAAATAGCACGACTTGAGAAAATATAAAAGGCAGTTGCATACATTTACAGTTGGTCTTGTTTTTTGTATTTTTTTTTTGTTGAAAGGATGGGAGAACACCACTGTTGATGGCCATACAGGGTGCACATGAAGATGCTGTAAAGCTACTGCTGGACAGGGGGGCTAAGGTCAACATTGCTGATAATTCCAAAAAGTAAGGATACAACCATCAATGTTTTTCTACAATTTATAGTTCATTCATGAACATGCAAGAGTGAGCCTAAAGGGGTACATTTGCTAACAGTGAAAAAGTTTGCTTGAGAGACCATATTGGTCTCACATAAAAATGTTGTACATGAACTAAAGTAATACATTTTATAAAAATTACTTTTGGAGATTCAGCTGCCATGTAGTGTACAGTGTATGATGAACCTGATGACACTGGATTGTGATTTTTACAGTTACAATTTGGTACTAATACACTGTACTACTTTGTACATTTTTGTAATTTTGATATACCATGTTTGTAAAGGACGGCACTGATGTACGCATCATTACTGGGACTTAGCAAGACGGTAGACATGCTGCTTAAAAGAGGTGCTAATCCACAGCTTACAGATAGCAATGATCATACAGGTTTGCAAATACTATACTCCTGTTTATGTATTGTAAGCACAGAAATTACGAATTCACATACAAATCATGTCAGTGTATATAGTGGCCCATCAAAGTCATAATCTGTACAATTATTGACATTATCCTGAATTGGATATAAAGGAAGGGAGGAAGAGTCCTTAGCACACTTTACATGAATGTACATTATTTATGTACATATAAGATTTTAACCACCTCATAACTTATGTGATGTGACTTTTTCATAATTTTTTCATATAATATAATTATCAAGCATGAGACGCAGCGTTTCGTCACCAGATGAAACACTGAGAAGAGAGCTGAAAACACAAGGTGCAGTGGAGTATTTTTGACAAACTTCGAGGTTTTCCATCTGGTGATGAAACACTGTTTCGAATGCTTGATATTACTTCTCAAACAAAATGATTTTAGATGGAGAAATTAAGGATGCAAAAGTGAGCAGTTTTTCATCTGATTTCCAAACACTTATTAAACTTTAATTTCCTGTGTATTTTCTTTATAAAGTATTAACGAGTTTGAGAAACAACTTTATTGATCTCTGTAGATCTCAGATATCATAATCTTTATTGTAAACACAGAAAGATTTTTTGGTAAAATTAACAAATAAATTAATGACAATTGTCAACATTGATAAGGCAAAAATTGCTGTGACATTGACAGGCTGTAGTACATGTGTGTAAAGACATACCTGCAATGGTGTGATGAACAGACTATAAACAAGACAAGGATTTAAGTGTAAAGGCAAAGTCAAACTTTTCTTTGTAGGAAAGTTTCCTTTTTTGCAAACGGGTTGAGAAAATGAATTCAAAAATTTTTGTTGGTATTTATGGTACTATAGCTTAATTAGTAAACCTTGAAATATTAATTTGTAATGACTAATTTGTAATTGACAGCTGAAGACTATGCTCGTTTGTGTCATTACAAAGACATCATTAATCTCATACACAGTGCTCCTTCTATAGCTAATTGGGATGCAGGTAAGGTATTTCTCCTTGCATGTATGTTACAGTCATACATTTTATTTCTAGTTTTGTAAAACAGTTGATCTTGCAAGCAGATAATCATCATAAGGCTTGGCAAAACATGGTCCATTGTTGTTAATAACCTGACTTCCTACAGTATACATGTAATAAAAAAGAGAAAAAAATTAATGGATAGTTTTTTCCCTTTTTTCACCAAAACTGAAGAAAAACGACGAGAGTATTGAAGAAAAAGTACTGCCAAAAAGGTTATGTTTGAATGGTCAAACCTCAGGATTTTGTCCACAGACTGAAGTATTAGAATCATCTTACAAGACCCCATGCTTCACTCTGAGAGTGAAGGGGTAAAATATTATGTATTTTGAGGAGGTAACATGGCCCTGCAGAGATATGAAATTTCTCTTCAAATTTATGTTGAAAAATATTTTGTGAGTGAGCGCAGGGAATAAGTGAAATATTTTTCAACTTGAGAAAAGAAATTCGTATCTCCAAGTAGTCATGTAATGTTCTATTTATTATACAGTCGACTCTCTCTTAACAGACACCTCTATAAGACGGACACTTAGAGTTGGTCCCTGCCTCTCTTTACTCCCTTTAGTTGACTCTCTATAAGACGGACACTTAGTGCCGGTCCCAAAGGTGTCCGTCTTAGAGAGAGTTGACTGTATAAACACCAATTAAATACGAAACCATCTCACTTTAAATTGTTTTTGCTGTGAAATTTATGTAGCCATAGCAATGGTGATTTTTCACATGTAAAGATGACGTGCTATTTTCATAAGAGAAAATATCATGTTTTTGCGCAAAAGCTCATCTGTATTTCATTGCTGTTTACGGTCAACTCTCTGTAAGATGGACACCTTTGGGACTGGCACTAAGTGTCCATCTTAGAGAAATGTCCGTCTTATAGAGAGTCAACTAAAGGGATTAAAGAGAGGCAGGGACCAACTCCAAGTGTCTCTCTTAGAGAGGTGTCCGTCTTATAGAGGTGTCCGTTAAGAGAGAGTCGACTGTATATAATAAAACAAAATAATAATTAAGCAAAATCGCTTTAGTGTCATTAGACAAAGGTCTTTGTTGATCTAGGTTGTATAATTACTAGGTTATGTTGATCCAAAAAAGACGATAATCTGTTGATAATGGAATTTTTTTTGTTAGGTGAAACCTCAGAGGATACAGAGCAAGAAGAGAATAGCAGTACACAAAATGTAAAACTATCATAATTATAACAGAGTTGCAGTCTGTGTAATATTCATTAGCATATCTTTGTTCCAGTAGCATTAGCTTGCTTGTAAGCACACACATTTCCATTGTTTGCAAGCTTTGCAATCATGCCATTTCAGTTTTATGAACATTACTGGTTTGTTCAGTCAAACATCTATTAAGTGGTCACCCTCTAGTTAGATTCTGGTTCCCAGAGTGTGGGCCAACAAAACTGTCAGTAAATCAATGCAAACAGAACCTCAATGGATTTTGACTTCATTTGTATTCCATCCCTGTTGGCAGGTCATTTGAATTTTAAAGGAGTGACTGCAGTTAAAATCAAATGGGGCCTATGGCTAACTTGATATTATTTTAGAAATGAAAGCTGATAATGAACTTGCAATTAGCCTACCGGTATATTTTAAGTCTGTCAAATAATGAAAGTAATGTTAAACAAAACAAAACAACACGACCAAGAAAAAAAAACATTCCAGAGGCGGAAGTCGAACCCCAGACCTTCAACGTGTAAGGGCAACGCGATGTCTATTGAGCCACGACAAGTAGTGTTAATTATAATTGTCAAATTAATAATAGTTCAGAGTTTTTGCCCTTGAAATTGTGCCGGTTGACGCGATTTAAAGCTGGTAGAGCTTTATTTTTGAAGAACTGAAAGATATATTCGAGGAAAACAAGCAGGGCTTTGACGGTAAAGGCCGTCTTTTAACTAATTTCGTCGCATTTGAAGAACAGGGCGACAAGTGTCTCGCAAAACCGTCGCGAAGTCTCTTGCTGAGGTCGTTGTACCGTGCAATTCTCAGCTTCAGGGGCACCTAACGAGAATATAGTTCAATTAACAATTAATAAATGAGGCTGAGTATCTTATGAAGAATTATGGAGATCGAGGAGGGTGTATAACACCCTCCGAGATCTCTATAATTCTTCATATGATACGAAAGCCGAATTCAGTAATTGTTTTATTATTCATTCAAAATAATTCCTAGTTTAAAAACAAAGCTAAAACGTGCTTACCTCCATTGATGTTAAGTTCACCTTCGATAGTGCACGTTTCGGGGTTGTTCAGCTCCCGCAAATATTCTCCAAATAGCAGATGTCGCCTTTCGAGGGTTTGTGTTCTTGCTGTTCTTGCTATGTTTTAAGCTATAATTTCGCCTAGTTCTTACTCTTGAAACGAGTAAAATGTCCGCCATTTTTTGTTTTCACAACCAAAACAACTCAACCTCGTCCCCAGGTCTGTTAACGGTGCATTAACCTGCAAGAACGCTGCATTTTTGACGTCATTTCCTCGTTAAACACAGAATTCTTCCAAAACTGGTTATGGTGAATTATGCTTGTACTTTTAGCCAATCAGAATCGGGGAAATATTTTGAATGAACAATAAAACCACTTAAACATAGCATTGTTAAACGTGTTTTAGTATAAAAACAGTAGATATATGTATAATTTTTCATCTGTTCGGATTTCCTAGCTGAAAGTCTAGTGATCCGAAAATTATATGGATGTAAACTTACCTTTTCGAAAATTTCAGCCAGAAAAAAGGCTCCCGAAAATTCTAGGTAACCTTTTTAGGGTAAAAATCCGTTAAAAATGGACAATTATACCATTATTTAGATGTTCGAAAATCCTAGGAGAGGCAGGCAAGCAAGAAATTTTACAACAAATGTTCTGAAAATTCTCAGAGATTTCAAATCGTCTTCCGAACAGATATTTTCCGAAAATTGACGTTGGGTGTCTCTGCAGCGTTTACATATGAGGAGAATGAATTACGATTCAGGAACAGTAAGCAATTCCGTTTTTTGAACAAAGAAGCATTTCATTTCAGAATAATATTTCCCAACAAACCATGAGATTGGGAGTCTTGTCGTGAGAACAGGAAAAAAAAATCACGAGTCTCACGGCAGAATCGTGAGCTTAGACCACCGTGGGAGTAGACGAGCAAGTGCTGATAGGAAGCTTCAAACGTTCATAAACTTCTGTAATTTAACACGTTTAAAGTCCACGTGAAGACAACTTATCCTCCCGTGAAAGGTTCAAGTGAAAATGATAACAAGCTTGCGAAGTCGTGCTGAGCCGACTAATTACGAAAACGTCCACACCTGAGTGATACATTTGCATATCGCTGTGCCCACAGTAACTTGCTCCTTACGCGACGCGTATAATCCATAAGTTAAAAACTGTCTTTGGTGTTTGTTTCAGCCTTCGTCCTATAGAGGGGATTTAGTCACTCACCATTCAAAGATAATTTACCTAACTCATATAAAACCTGTTGAACAGATTTAAGATAAAGAATGTTACAAACGCCAGCGAAGCGTTACATGAGAGGTGTCCTTTGGGTATTAATCTAAATTTGGAGTATCTTTTCACAATGGTTTGTATTGCCTGCGTGCAGACGTCTCCTATTTCCTTTGTTGCACGCGTTCAACAAAGGAAATAGGAGACGTCTGCACGCAGGCAATGGTTTGTAATGCTTTGTTGTTGTTGTTGTTGTTAGGAAGAACTTATATCAGAGTTTAACAGCAGTCTTGAAGAGTCAGAAGCTGACACTTCTAATTTAGTACAAGATAAAGCCATGTCAAACAAGAGTACTGGGGTAAGATTACTTAACTACAAACTTTTAGACCAGAAACTGCAGAAGGTCAAGAGTACCAGAGTAAATGGGAAATTACAGCACATTAAATGCGTCTAATTAAACTCTGAGTGTGAGATAAAGTTCTTTCATTGTAATACACCCAACGTAGCTATAAAAGTAAGACCCCATCCACACGAAGACGATTGTAAACGCAAACGCTAGTAAACGCATATTTTTATCTCCGTCCACACGAAAACGATCATCGTGTACGTAGCGTTTTAACCCATCCACACGAAAACGCTCGTACACGCATAAAACGATGTCATAGTCTCAGTTCTTCAGCTAGATTATATAGCGAATCTCTGCTCATTCGAAAGTTCTCTTTCCACTCTTCTGGTATCTCCATTTGATCGGCAAAGTTGTTCCACCAGGCGCTTGTACGACCTGGTCTGGTCCAGAATCTTCTCTCTTTTCTCTCACGTCTGCATCTAAGTCGTTTACTCGAGTAAAAGTGCTTGTAGTTGTGGATAACAATCTTGAGAGGTTTAGTCTTCTTCTTTTGCAGTTTTCCTGTATATCGATTATTGCATGATTCAATTGAAAGCTCGCAATTATGCTTGAAATAAGCGCAAGCATGACACAGCTCAACACTCGTGTGTACGCCATCTTGGAAAGGCACTCGATGAAAGAGACTGGCGCTGACATCTGACGTCAGCATTTTCACAGCGTTTACGAAAATATACGTTTACGGCCGTCCACACGAAGACGCATAAATGGCGTTATCAAATTTATCCACTTTGGAGAGCGTTTTCGAATTTATGCGTTTACGGTGAGCGTTTTCATCGTCTTCGTGTGGACGGAAGGCCTAAACGCATAAAAAAGTTTGCGTTTACTAGCATTTGCGTTTACAATCGTCTTCGTGTGGACGGGGCCTAAGTTCATAATACTTCCGTAACAAGTGAAACATATATCTGGAGTATCCAATTGTATCATTTAGTTTATTATATCGCTGTCTGTTTTCGCTTACTGATTGGTCAATTTGCGGTCCGTAACTTGCTTTTATACGGACCAAAATTTCAAATCAAGGGCTCATTTTGCAGTTTTAAATCTCTCGTCCTTCAACATTTTAACCTTGTGAACGGAGCCGATGAAGAAACTCAGTGAATCGTTATCTTATTGAAGAAGTGGATTTCAGTGAGTTACTTGAAAATGTTATTGCAATACTTATATGCGAAAATAAACATCGACTGGCAGAGATTCGAGACGTTTTAATATGAAAAAGCGAGCGATTCCTTCCACAAAAATGATAACAAACATAAGCTTAATTTCAGTGTTGCAAGTTGCGGCAATATGTTTCGCAAGGTAGATCCGAGTTCCACTTTGTGCAAAAACTTGCTATGCTTCACAACGCTTGTGATTGGTCGATTTTCCCGAACGAAAAGCGCGGAAAAGATGGTGATTAAGTGCGCGCGTGACCTCGGGCAAATTTGGCCCGGAAGTAAACATGGCCGAGCTGGTTGTAGACGTTGAACATGTTGAAAACCCAAGATTTTGGCTGGTCTCCTAGACGATTGTTAAAATCGATTAGCCCGAAATGCGGAAAGAGTACTCCAGGGAGTCAAAGGTTTCACTGGTGGTCAGATACCGTAAAGTTACGGCTAGGTGTTCGTCTGGCTTTATGGTACTGACACAAAACACACCTTTGACCAATCACAACACAGGATTTTCTGAATGAGCCGCAAATTGCAACATTGAAATTTGGTGCGTGCCAAAATAGGAGCGAAGGTGGTAATACGGGCTACAACGCTTTTCAACTTGCAATGCAACAATGTCACGCGACAGTTTGGGTGAAAATGTTGCCTGTATCACTTGACCGTCAAGCTTACCTGCACCTGATCAGCTGGATAAGCTTCTTTGCCATTGACAGTGTTTTTCTCAAAGTCCAACAAAAGAACGATGGAAGCGACTTCGAGCCAGACACAATCTGCAGTTTTCAAAAGACTCCATCTTCACACTTAGGAATGAATATTTACCGTGCTCTTAGTTTTGACCGAATAAACTTTTTCAACATGGCGCATTTGCATTTTGATTTTACTTTCAATACAGAGCTTTCAATAGAAAGCATTCGTAACGTGTGCTCTTGTTTCCGTGAGCCAATTAAAACGTCCATTTTCTGATGCCTGTCAAATCGTTTGTTTTGTACTTGTTTCCGGTCCCCAAAATAAGAAGCCATATAATGAACATCTTATATATAGCCTCGTTTTTTCGGTCCGTATTGTAAATTAGGGATCCTCGCTTGGACCATAAATCGGTGGAAAAATCTCGGTCCGTAATTTACAGTACAGACCGACGAATAATTTGAGACAATTTTGAAATGTCGCGAGTGGCATTTATGCCAAAACTCAGGTACAAATCATGCTATTATTTGTTTATACTACTACCCGCAAAAGGTTTTGTAATTTTCACATGCAGGTATTTCAAATTAAGCTGAAATACCACTGCCCTAAGCGAATCAAATTGTAGAAATTTCTCATGTAGTAGTATAAAGTATTTTATTTGTGTTTGTGTGTAGGTTTCAAGTTCATTTAATAGTGGCAGTTTATCAGCACAGGTGAGGAACAGGTTTTTTTCAGTTCCCGTCATGGTTTTGTTGTTTATTTGTTCATTTTTGTTGTGGTTATTATAGGCATGTACTGTAGTTGTTCCAAGCAATAGATTACGTGTACATTGAAATTATTTCTCCGTGTCCATCTTCTACTATTTCTTCCTCCGAAGCTCTCTGCCCCGGAGGGAGGGGGTACTCCCATACATTACCTATACGGGTATGTGCCGCCCAACGGGGTTGTGATTTTGAAGCTCCTGATTTAGAACGGGGTATCCATTTCATAGGCGTTTTCTTGAACGGGGTATAAAAAATTGTGGATCACGGCTTTATCTTCTGCTTAAAATTGTTTCTGATTATGAAGAAGCATTTATTTGATGGATAAGTCGACCAAATAAAGAAATATCCTTTTAAAAAAACAGGGCTATTTCAATTTACAAACTTTCTAGAACGGAGTATAAACAATTGGCCCATTTCTAGAACGGGGTATCAGTTTTAGGGCGAATTCTAGAACGGGGTGTAAAAAAATGGCCCATTTCTAGAACGGGGTATCAATTTTAGGGAAATTTTTTTTAGAACGGGGTGCCAATTTGGAGTCCCGGGCGGCACATACCCACCCAAAAAATACCCAAGTGCCCCCCCCCCGGCTCTCTGCTCTCTGAGGCAGTTTGTGTTTATATTTATCTCATTTATCTTATGGTTGCTTAAACTCCCCATCTAGCTGCTTCCACTACACAAGCGAACGCACTAACAATTCATAGAGCGAAACATAAGAATTTACAAGTTATACGCAAAAAACAATTTTTCACCAAGTTCTTCGCCAAGACATGCAAATATTGCCCGAAATACAAATACACCTTGTTTACGCAACCCCCCCCCACAAAAACAAATTGTATAAGCAATGTTTTCATATTCTTTTGGGACAACTGTAAATACTCTGGAAATATTGGAAACGTTTCGAGGATAAACAAGGTGTGTTATGAGCAATGTGAAAATCATGAATTGGGAGATAATAGGCTTCTTGCAATGTCGCCGTCATGGAAGAGAAGATAAGCATTATACAACGGTATACTGAAAATACAAGTTGTCACCCAGCAGGAGACTTGAAATCGCACAGATAAAGCTTAAATATGGCGAATGGCTTCAATCACTGAATTATCCCTTTCTCAAACTCATAAATCATGGGCTTTCCGCAGCACCCCAACCTCGCACCCAACCCTCTGTTCCCTGCCAAGAAAATTCAGTTCATGTTAATGGAGCTGTTATGACTTTTGCCCTAAAATCCTGCTTTAACTAGTAGCTGATAGCCTGCGTGCAGACGTCTCCTCTTTCCTTTGTTGCTTTAGAAGCGAGCTCATATCTTAGCACACTAGACTACGAGTAGTCCCCCATTTTCCCTCAGGGATAGTAGAGCGAGCAAAACGCGAGCGCGCGTGAAAATCAACCCACGCGAGAAAAGGCGACACGCGGTGGGGAGAGAGAAAAATGAGGGACTACAGACAAAGCCCAAGCTTTTGAACTAATGCGTTGCTCTCACAACGCAAAACTCTGATTGGCTCTTCCATGGAACTCTGTCAACATCTGTCAAAAACGCGCCAGCCGCTATCAACACTCGACATAATCTCAATTTACAGAACAAATAACTAGAGCAGAAATAATAACAGCAAAGAACAAATAACTAGTCAGAGTTGCTGTTGTAGAAGCAACTAAAAAGAAAGCCAACCCAGCAACTGATGAGGTTCGCGTGGAGAACCGAAACCATGGTCTTGTCTGATCACTAAGTGGGAATTGAATAACGGAACAGTCGCTTATTCAAAAGTTATCACCAAGGGAGGAACTACGCACTCCAGTCCAAATACTCACATTATCTCCAGAAAAACAAGCGGCAGTTAAAATTCATGAGCAGTCATGACTGAGTCACATCGCAGTTCTCCATAGTTGATGTAGTTTTAGTTTAAGCTGCAATCCATTCTGCAAGATTTGGATATCGCTATCCGTCCTGCTAAAAACGCTAACGAGCTGGGCCCAGCGTGACAAAACATTGCAGGAAACCGACACATTCACGGCCAAAAAGATAATCGCTTAAAATCATTCAGATCCAGGAGGCAATCGCCGGAAAAATTAAACAACCCTAGACCCTTATTAAGCCGCATTGAAGAGCTTTACTTTTCAAAAGAAGTGAAATAAAATGCTCTTGCATTAGTGGGCAAATCATGCCGACCATAGACAATAACCGCAGAAAATTAATATACGTGTCACGACCTCTCATTATGAAATAAGCGGCAAAAATCAAATTTGCTCAGTCAAAACGTTTTCCTCCAGAGCATAAACTATCCGTCAGAAAAAAAAATTCATTGGAACAAGCAGCATTTTGGCATGAGTAAAAAGTCGTGTGTTGCCTACACTATCAAGTTCTTCACGCGAAACAACTGTCAAGAAAATTAGTATCTGGGTTTTCTTTTGCTTGCAATAAGTATCCCTCGCAGTTTACCGATGACAAGAGCAATGACAGCTCAATGAGGGAAGGAAGCCGATTGGATGCGCTTAATTGATTTGGAAGGGGATACGAACTTCACACTCCGAAATCAGTCGGCCGTGAAGGGGCAAAAGCTTGGGCTTTGTCTGTAGTCCCTCATTTTTCTCTCTCCCCGCCGCGTGTCGCCTTTTCTCGCGTGGGGTGATTTTTACGCGCGCTCGCTTTTCGCTCGCTCTACTATCCCTGAGGAAAAATGGGGGACTACTCGTAGTCTATTAGCACACTAATAAAGTGAAACCTGTATTAAGCGTTAAGCGGACAATAGCCGAAGTCTCGAAATTGATTTCCCTTGTTGTCTTTAAATGAAACCTTTATTAAGCGGACAGCTCTATTAAGAGGACGCGGACACCTAAAAAGTGCCTGAAATAGTCATTTCTATTGTTACCAACCTGTATTTACCCTGCGAACAGAGTCTCCTTCGATCTTCCCAGGAAAGATCGAAGCGACTCTGCTAGCAGGGTAACCTGTATTAAACGGACACTTGTAATGAAATTCCACCACCCAACATGCCAGTACGGTGGCCCAGAAGGGTCACACATGCAAATTAAAAATGTTGCTGCAAATTAAAAATAGTACATGCAAATTAAAAACTGTACATGCAAACTAAAAATATTACCTGCAAATTGAATATAGTACATGCAAATTGAAAATAGAAAACATATCGATGCAAATTAAAATTGAAAAGTCCTGCGCGCGCAGTATGAGTGATGAGGACCTGGTCCGAGCCGTGCGACCTGGCCTTACAGCCGTCGGCCCATTCATGTTTCATTTTTGTAATATTTTTAGTTTGCATGTACAATTTTTCATTTGCATGTCCTATTTTTAATTTTCAGCAACATTTTTAATTTGCAGGTAAAATTTTTAGTTTGCAGCAACATTTTTAATTTGCACGTGTAACCCTTCTGGGCCACCGTATGCCAGACACCGGAAATGCGAAAGATTACCTCGAACTGCCACCCACAAGTTTTTCGATTTTTGCATTAAAAAACGTGACTTGACGAACTTACTTGATTAGTTTCACAGTTCAGTATTGTTTTCTATTTCGTTTTGTTTGTATAGAGCTTGCTTCACTCATCTGATTTCTTCAAATTTGAGTTTCAATCTTTGTTTATGGTACTATGATCAATTGGTCCACTTTGATAAAGAAATTAATGCAAACGTTTATCGTCAAAGTCTCTGGGAGTATTCTTAACATTTCCACTGTTCATTTGAATGGCATTCATAGGCGTACGGGCCGGGGGGGCGAGGGGGGGCTGCAGCCCCCCCAAATTTTGGGCAACTCAGATTTTTTGGGCAGCAAGAGAAAATTTGGGCAAAGCTATTTTTTAAAGACTTTTCCGTGTTTTTTTATTAGTTTAAAGAGACAAATATTTTCTATTTTAATCTGAAAAAAAGATCCTGAAGTCAGCGTAATAATCCAGTTATATTACATTCTCTCGAGACACTCACAGTGGTTGCTGAGCACGTGATGAGTTTCTGGGTATAGCGAAGGGTATCATTTGTTGATTTACAAAATTTAAAGTTTTTTATCGTTGAGCACTGTCCTGCACTGCACTGACTGGAATGGGCTCTTTCCAGTCGTGAATTGATTAGAATAAGCTTCCGCATATCTTTCTAGAATCATCTCCGCCCGTAGAACAGTGTATGGCAGAGAGCATCAGCAACAGTGGGTGTGAAAATGAAGAAGTGGCTGACGAGTATTCGGCTCGAATTACGAGAAGAATATTTTTTTGTTTAATAATCTATCAAGCAATAATTTATTAAAGTAAACCGAAATGTTTACAAAACCGCTAACAAGAGCGCCTCGATACATACTGATGAAATGGAATCCTTCTCTCTAGCGATCGGCCGGAGCTATCTCCATGATATTTTACACACGTTTTTAAAACGATTGAAGCTACTATGAGGTGAAATTACATGTCAAAAGAGATTCGTTTTCTGCAGATAACGGCCAAACATCAAGATTTTTTTTAGCATATTTCTAAAACTTCATCCCAAAATATCCCGATAACTCTTTTATAGATTCCGTTTTAACTTCACGAACATCGAGGCGACTATTGGAGAAAAAAGTTGCGGTGAAGATTTTGTAGGAACAGTTCCCAGTGCCAAGAAATATTGCTGCAAGTAAAATAGACAATGGCATCATTTCGTTGCTATGACAACTCCGATGTCATTAAAACCCTATGATAAATTTTCATCTATATCTAATAAAACTATGGTAGCAATTTTTCCAAATGTTTGTCTATGGCGACGTAGTTATGCTCAAAATTGGGAGGTATTGACCCTGAAAAACTGTTACAGTATCGAGCCACCTTCATATGCCAGTACGGCCTACGTTGTTGCATCGTATGGCCCTCGTTTCCTTTCTACTGTTTCGTAAAAATTTGGGCAACTTGCGAGAATTTTTTGGGCAAATAGTTTACCGCCCCCCCTGGCCAAAAATTGCCCGTACGCCTATGATGGCATTTGACATCTCATGTGATGTTATCTATCGAAACCTGTATTAGGTGGACACCCTGTATTAAGCGGACACTACAGCATTCCCCGAGGGTGTCCGCTTAATACAGGTTTCACTGTAAAATAATATCAAAATAAAGGGACTCTTAAGAGTTGTTATGTGAATATTGTAATACTTATTTGTAGTGCAGTTTCTTGCTCAAGCTCCTAGCTGTAGGATGATAATTATTAAGTATATTAACAAAAAAACGGACTTTCTTGGTCGTATAGGAATCTTTCTCATCAAAGGCTTCGACAACTCTGTCGTCATCTAGGGGAGCTCAACAAGATTTGTCAGAGGATATAAAGGTAGTTCAGCTACAGTACTGTAAAGAATATCATTGTTTTTCTTTCTTACATTAGTTAATCAGCTTCGGTTTGATCAACTTGTGTCTAATTTTTCACCGTAAAAGGATGTAAAAATACAGCCCTAATGTATTTCACATGGGTAACATTACCTTTTGGAATTTTTCCCGAAAGAAAAGATTAATATTGTGTGATAATAATAATAGTAATCATCGTCATCATCATGATAATAACAATAATCATAATAATAAGTAATAATTAGTTGATTAAACTATCTGGCTCTTGGCTATGACGTTGAATTTATAAAAAAATGATGTGTTTCATTTTACCTCTAGGAACTGGAGGAGGAAAATGAAATGCTTAACCAAGAATTAAACAAGCTTAGAGTACAACATCAGAAAACACTAGAAAGGGTAAGGTGTTGGAAAGGTGTGAGATTTGATATTAGCTTGAGATCTGTCTCTAAGTTCGCAGCAAACGAGGAACACAATCCGTTGACTACATCTAACGTATTGTTTCTAACCAATTGCTGTTATCTTTTGTTGGTACTTTGTACTTGCGTTTTTTAAACCGTCTGTTTCGTAGTTACGTATACATGTTCATGTACCACTAACCTGAGATCAGGCCCAATTTTAGCGGTTCTCATACATTCTCTCTAACGGCTGTTTCGTTTCGCCTTGCTCGCCGGAATGTTCTTACAAAGCGAAACGAAAATTGAGCCTGATCTCAGGTTAATGTACCACATGTTTAACTTGGAGTATAAACTTTGTTAAGTGACCGCATCACTTGTATGGTTTCTCTGGTTTGTTCTGTTTCAGTATAGTCCAGATCATTCTTAAAGGCTTTTTTTTCTGATTTAGAGGAAAAAAGGTTTCCCTGGGAAAGTTGGTCACCTGCGCTACAAAATTTTCGTGTTGTCCTTCCAACAAAAATGTCTCCTTTGTTTTTTTTTTCTCGTTGAGCTTCGCTGGCCTGCCGCCTACTTTCTCTTTGTCTCGGTCTTTGTCTTGCTCTATATTCCAAATATGTGGACATGACAATTAATCTAAGCTTAATACTTTGGACACCACGGATACAGAAACAATTTCCGCTTTCCGTTTTCGTCTTTATTGATTCTTTAGTTGTCTCTCCTTTACAAGACGCCGGTGGCTATGTGATTTCCCGCCAAAATAACCTCGAGTTGCGTTTGGGTTGCCATACCTGTTGATTGAGTTATTTTACATTGGTATGCTTGTGGTGCGGACGGACGGTCGCTCGGTCGGTGTACAGTCACGTGATTACCAAATTTTCTATACGAGGGGGAGATTTACTTAGCTATGGGGCGCGTGGAGCTCCTGCTCAATGGAGCCACTTAATAATTTAGCGATATTTATCCTAGGGTCCCGTTTTTATGGACACCTAGAATTCGCAAACAGCATCTTCTTTGTCATCGTTGTTTTTGGACAACGGCAAACATGACCAATATATTTGCGTTGAGTTAATTACACCATGGACCGAATGAAGTTGTTTCTCTGTTTTTCAGCTTCGTGGTCTTGAAGCGCATCACGAAACTGCTTCGGTTGAACCTACAGCAAATCACGTCAATGTAAGTATAAGATGAATCGATGAGTGTAAAATCTACACGTATGGTTTGTACCGAGGTTTATGGACCTTTTTTAACTAATTTCCTCATATTTTAGGGACATGTGGAGGAAGAAATATTAGAAGCGAAAGAAAAAAGGATAGAGGAATTAGAGAAAGAGGTAAAACGTTTACACCTGTTTGCGTCGTATGTTGCGGAACTTTAAGAGAAAGGCGTTTTTCCCTAATGACTTACGTCAGGCGGAAGTAAGTTGTTTTCCCTTTTAATATATCTTGATGCTGCCAAATTCGTTATGCTTAAAACTGTGAATGCGTGGTTGCTTTGCTCTTATAAAGTCTATTTGCCCAAAAGTGTAGGCGAACCACTGCCGAATAATATTGCAAAATGTCCACTTCCGTTAGACGTGCGTCGATCCGAAACGTCGTAGCAACCTCGCTCCCAGGGTTCCCTTCTACCTGTCCCTACGGAGCGAAAGAGAGAGACGAAGACGGGTAGGAGAGAGAACCTGGGAACGAGGTTGATGTCTTAGCTTAAACGTCCTCCGGGGGGAACTTTCACATGCAATAGACATGGATACCCGCTGGAAATTTAGAATTTAACCCCGAAAGGAGACCAATCTGTGACTGGCTCAGAGTTTTTACCCTAAAGGAGACCACACTTCAACTCCGTCGTTTTTTTCTTTGCCGGGGGGGGGATATATCTTTACGCACAACCCTGGCGATACTTTTATGCGATAAAACATTGGCTTTCCGTTCTGAACACCCTAATTGGGACGAAAATATGCAAATTCGATTCCTAAGGGAATATCTTCATATGGTAATTCTCCAAGCTTTTTCCTGAGGTTTTAAGAGAAGCAAAAGGTAGAAGAGGTTATTATTATTTTCAATTTTATCGATCAATTTGTATTTTTCTATTTACTAATAAGGTAAAAAGCCTTACGGAGAATTTGGCAAAGGAAAAGGAGTCTAGGAATGATGCAGAGGTAAGCTAACTGTTATTCATTTCTGAAAACAGAAAGTAGTGTGAACACAGAGGCGAGGGGAATTCAAAAACATCAATGGGGCTTGTCAACACTTGTCACCTCTCAAAAGCTAAACCTCGTTTTTTTTAGGGAGAATGTCAACATCTAAACTAAACATCAGTCATCAATCTGTGCAAGGACCATATCTTGTTGGCAAAAAATTGGCAAATTTCAATCAGTTGAAAATGGTTGAAATTGAGACGAAACACAGACCAATAAAATATTGGATCCTTAGGTCGTTTTCCCTTCCAATTCGGTTTTGAAATTGTGGTTCGCACACCACCCGCATTGCATGTCAGTATTTGCCTTGAATTACGTCCTAGGTTGAGGGGTTACACAATAACGGGAGTCAAATATAGGTGGGGAAAAGGAAAATGACCCAAACACCTTTTTTTTCTCCGAGTGTATTCATACTGCACGTGCGATATATGCACTGGGATTAAAAAAGACGAAATTGTTTTGCCCCCGTTCCTTATTATCACATGGATTCTTGATGTGCATTGTTAAACAAAAATCGCAAACATTAGAACTCAACCAAATTTTCGCGAACTTTACTGTTATCCGTTTACATTCGCTTTCTCCCTGTACGTCGTCTTTCGAGGCCTTCTTGGTCATATCCGAGACAAACTCGCCTGAACCCAAAACGCTTGAGACAAGGCAATGCTTACATAATATTAACTTCTTACGCCATGTTTTCTTTTTTTAAAGAAAGGGGACCTGTTTACAATAGCTATAAACAGTGCATTCTTTCTCATCGCAAGTGTACAAAATGGTTCCCTTGCAGGATGAAATAATGACTCTGAAAGCCCAAGTTGCCTCGTACCAGGTAACACATGCATGTAGTCGATGTGTTTTCGATTAGTACGATGTATTTTTTAGTCAGGTGTTTTACCTTTGGTCCTAAAAACGAGGTTTAGGGAATGCAGTCGACGTTTCTTTTTACTTGTACTTGTCAGACGTTTGAAGGGGAATGGAGAGGTTCCTCAATAGATCTTAGGATGCTTTGTTTGAAGGGATTCGGGATTTTAAAGTAAAGTGGGGGTGATATTCAGGATTGAATGTGGGAATGCGGTATTGGGATTACGGGATTGAGCGAACATTTGGGAGAGATGACTGGATCAGTGAAGAATCATTTTTAGGACCCTCAATGTAATGGAGGAATTATGTACTAGTCAGTGAAAAGTCCCGCACCCTAAAACCCGGGGAATGCGGGGCATTAGCGGGAGATTTTAGCGGTTTTAGACCGTCACTTTTGCCACGGTATGCGGGGTTTTCGACAGTATAATATAAGACGCAGGTATCAGCCACGGGGACCAATAGCGGGGCTCAGACGGGGATTTGCCCTTGACACTATCTTGAATAGGCGTGACATGGACCCAGCGGTACGGTAACAGAAGCACACAAATATTTCTCCTGAATGAAATTAACTGGAATATTGTTCTGGGAAGGCGTATAAAGCTAGAGGCCTCATGCAACCATAATCACTTGGAGAGGTTATAAGGTTTGGAATGCCAATTCTGTAACTCAAGGTAGATGACAATTTCGGCTGTGTGAGAGATGGACAGCATTGTTGATTTTTCAACTGTTGAAAGTTCAATTCCGCCAGGAAAAAAATCTTGAAATATATTAATTTTGGTCAACATTGTACATTTATTTGTTGACGGAATTGCCCTGCATAGCGGGGAATTTGCTCCATTTAGAAGGCAGGCACGGTCTAATGCCCTGTATTCCCCGGATATGAGGGTGCGGGGCTAACCACTGACTAGTGCATTAAGGTGCGCATCCCCTTGTTTTACATCAAGTGAAATGTCCAAAGTACTTTTGCGTTGTGGGGTGTTGCGTTTGTCCTGAGACGGCGCATTTTTTACATTTAATCTTTGTTATAGCTCTATCTTAGAAATTTGTTATTAGAATACACTTACATGCTCGTTACTTTTTGTAGTGTAAAGAATAAGAATTGCTCACTCGGATGCAGGGTTTTTCGAATGATCGCGAAACTTCAAATGAAATGTTGACGCTTTGGTCCTCAAATAACAAACTAGCTGTAGTGCAAAATAATACTGACAAAAATAGACAAGTTTAACCGGATTTTGGGTTGTTTTCTGTTTTTTTTTTTCTCCCGAGTTTTACAAGGACTGAATTCCATTTTTCATGATTTTTCTCTTAAGGATGACAGTGCCGCTGATTTTAACTCCAGTGAAAATGATGAAGAGGTTGACTTGCCAGGTAATATTTGTTGAAAGAAAGGCGAGTGTAGATTATAACAATTATTTAGGACGTGCGAGTAATTATTTGCCTCGAAGACTATTTGTTTCGAGAAGACAGGAGTTCACACCTCGAGTTGTGCGGAGTAGGAAGTGTCCAAGAACAAATTTTCGGGTATATGTTCGTTTTATCTCTAAAGATCACACTTTGTATTATATGGTCTGAGTAAACAGCCTATATGTCGTGACGCCTCCACTGGTCTCCCCGCGAAATGCTGTCTGAGAAACGAGTGCAGAAATTTCATACTGATAACCAGATCTGGGTGGTGCTTCTGATTGGCTTAGGCAAATTTCCCACGCGGCGCGACCAATCAGAAGCACTATCCAGATCGTGAAACTTCTTTTAGCTTCCTATTTATTACGCGTTTTATGGAGGAAATGTTTGTGTTCCTGTTCACTTTGTTTTTTCACTGCCGCTCATTTTCACATTGGTAGCCGCTAGCATTTCTCGTTTTCTAACCGCCGCTATATAATTTCATGTTTCTCTTCCAACGAAATTAGTCTCCGTTGTTATTTGTCTCTCGCTCCTAGCTCTTTCCTTGTTATCTAAGTTAATGTAAAAAGAAAATTTTAGTGGAAAGAAAGACTTGGCCATGTAATTTACCGCCGAAACGAGCGAGGTGTTTGAAATGAAAAATTTCACTTCAGCTATAACATACTCCTCTCCCGACGGGCTGATACCTGTGATTCCCTTCCCTCACCCCCAAAGAGTGTATGGACGGACGGAGTACGCAAGATTACTAAATTTTCTTACCCATGGTGCACCGCTGCGGGCGCTTCGCGCGCGAGAGCTCCGCCATTATACTTATGAAGAAAAAATTTTTTTGGTAACGTTTTACCAAGTACCAATTAAGTTATGGCATTTAGGTTTACAATGAAATGGGTTTACATGAAAGACAATTTTCCATCTAAAGCAGGCTAAACTTATTTCAGTGATATTGTGTGTTCTTTTAAGGTGTGGACCACAACTGGAACTCAAAGAATAGCAACAGACGTTCCACTGGTATACGTTTTAACAAGATTATCTTAAATTCTTCCTTTTTCAATTGCATTTACATGTTTGAACAGTGTACTGACTTAAGAGTAGGTTTGGGAAAAAATGAGCTTACAGTAAGCGATGAACTGACTGTTCAGTTTGGATACCCTCTATTTTGAGAGTACGGCTGAACTAAGAGATCCCTTGAAGTTAACTGGCTAATACAGTTTTTTGTCATGTTGTTTAATTTGTATTACGATAATCAATGGTAATTTCCCTTCTACAACCCCGGCCAAAACTCTTGGGACACTAACGCAATAGCTTGTCAAATTGAGGCATCTTCCCTCCCCCCTTCCCCCTCGGTGCAATGTTGGCGTTATGCATTCAAGTTTTAATTCAACACAATCAACACTGCTTGGGGGAGAGGGGGAGAGCAGAAATAGCCCCTTATAACAACATCTCCAAGCCTCTTTAAGAGGTAGAATACGAGTTAATTTAGCAAAGTGCGTCTTTGTGCCTAATTTCCTCAAGTGTCCCAAGACGTTTTGACCAGGGTTGTAGATTCACTTCAGGCTGTTCTTTAGTAAACAGTGACACGCTATTGAGTGAGTGGTTTACATCGCGGTCCTATTGTGTGCATCATTTTAACTTAACAAGTGTTACATATAACTCTCTGTTTTGTTGCATTACGTTGGTGTTGCAGATAACAAGTCAGAACAACTAATTTCACTGCATGGTCAAATCACAACGCTCAAGCTTGAGAACGAAAATCTCCGGGAGCAGCTTAAGGTAAACCATATTATTCATTCTAGAATTTCCCGACTGGAATGGGGCGCAGTTCCATTAAGCAACTGACAATGCCTGTACAAATGTCTTCCAACTAGACTGCAAGCAGTCTCTTATGTTTCTTTGCAAAGTTACTGCACGCGAAACCCAAGCACGCGGGCGGCGAGCCGCGATAAACGAGGGCGTGAGTCCCAATCCCTTATTGTAACGTAACGTCGTGGTTTGCAATCGCGCTGGCTGAGATAAGAACAAGACAGATTTTTAACCAAAAGACGGACTGTAAGCAGTTTATCTTCGAACACAAACTTGTCAGGGGCGTGACCAAGCTTTTTTCAGTAATAGTCGAGTTTTATCGCTGACCTTAAGTAAAGTACCTTTTTTTCTAAAAGCATGGCTGTAAATTACTAAGAAAACTTTCGTGTTGGGGAGCTTGTAGAGGTTTTATCTGCACATGAATACCGTTCAGTAGAAAACTCTTTGGTTAATCTTGACTTATTTTTCAACCGGTCCACCAAAATTCGTCTCGTGTCACGTGAATGTTGACTTATTTGTACTCTGCAGTAGATACTGATCTTTCTGCTGTATGAGAGGCGACATTAGAGTTAGCCAGGATGAGCCGCTCGGCTTCAGTGTCGTAGATCACACGCGTTTAAGTTCAAATCTTCCGATCGTCTAATCTGACTCTCAAATTTAAGTTATGGTTACAAAATAGATTTCCGTGTTGCGTGTTAACCAGTCAAGATCGATCACTGTGGAAATAAATTTGTTGTTACTACGGGATGCATTGTGTTCTTTTTCAACCAAATTTCTGTTAAGCACTTATGGCTTAAATGCAGCAACCGGAGGGCAAATGACGGGTCATCGATCACCTTTGTATTTGGTGAGATTTACTGTTCTTCGAGAGACTGCCAGGCTGCAAGATCACGTAACGTCGGGAGAATTTCTAGTATATTGAGAAAAAAAGTAACTCAGTAACATCGTTCAAGTTTGGAGTTTCACTTAATTTGGAGCCTCGCTCTGTTGTGTGTCCCGCACTTTCGTCCCTCAGTTTTGTGTCTTGTTCAAATGTTTTTTTTCCCCTAGTCTTTTTTAGCATTGTAATCATGGTGAAAGCTATTATATAAGTTTGGAGGAAATGGCGTCACGTTCAAAAACCTATACTGTCCAATAGAATTGAAAATAACGGTTATCTTATCGCCCTTTAGGCTCCTTTGGTATCAGGTTCACTTGAATTAGAATCTTCTTTACTCTGTGTGGATAGATAACAAACTCCATTTATTGTTTTGAGTAAAGACTTAGAACACGTTTGTAGTAAAAGGAATTTGGTTAAAGTTTGTCTTTGTTTTGAATTCAGCAACACCCACAGGTCAATGGCGATTTGTTTGATGTTCAAGCTTCTATTCCCACTATTCCACTCACAGTTTATCAGCAGCTTAAGGTAACGTCCACAACTTGCATATTTCTGCTAAAACACCAAACATTCAATAATTAAAACAGTTTTTTTCAGTCTACTCTATGCTATGGAAAGCAAGGTATCAGTTACTTAACATTTTGGGATTATTTTTTTGATTAATAACAACTTGAATAGCGATAGAGGTCCTACTCCTGTATAACAAATTAATGAAATGTCATAAAAAGTTAAGTTTAAACACCGTCCACATTCCATACTATAAACACACAGTCCCAATCTGGAAAACTTCATGACGTCTACACGCATTGGCGCACCGGCTCGTAATCTTGTAGGCTGTACGCTTGCGAAGCTTCTAATCGTAGCAGCGTGCAGTATGTGTGACACATGGTAAATGACCTTCTTCCTGGGGTCTCTCGCAGCTCAGAGATTAGAGGGCCCGCTTGTTGTTTGAGAGGGAATGAATATTTTTTTCGTTGACCCATGCTCATGACAATTATTTATAACGTCTTTTATCTTTTTTTTTTTTTCAGGAATCGAATGAAGATGAAATTTTCAAGTTAACGGAGGAACTGGAAGAGTTGAAGATAGCAAATGAATCACTTCAAAGGGTAACAACTATTTCATTGGACTTAATGTGTTATGTCGCTGAACATAATGTCCATTAAGCACTTACGACTTACAGTTTGCTGACAGTGTATACACGAGTGCATGTAATGGAATTACGCTTCGTGAAGAGGGGAATTTTTCGGTAGACTTACCTCAACACTAACTTGAGTGTCATACCTTAATTAAAGCTTGTCAAATTTGCTTGTTTCTCTTCTTACACGTTACAGACAGCCGCCCAGAAAGAGCCATGTCCCCACTGCACGAGTGAAAGCAACGACGCGTCAACTTTAGCTAGAAAAAACATGGACCAGAATTTGGTTTCAGAGTTAACACAACTTAGAGAAGAATTTGAGGTACTTTAACTTTGCATATTCCTTAACCCATTCAACCCTGAACAGTCCGGAACCGCACGTGCGCATTCTCATCCCTTGTACCACTTGTGCGGTCATCAGATTTAACACAATTCTAAAAGTTGTTACTGAAATCTAAAGGTATGGGACCAATTTTTGTGTGAAATAATCTGAGAGACCTTTTCTTGGTTTTACTTAACACCACCCTGTGTACTACCTCACTTCGCTGTGAAGACTGAACAGAATAATGCTAAGCAGTACCCGCTGAAAAGGCGATCATCATCTAAATTCTCTCTAAGGCTAACAACTACAAACAGTGTTTTCATACATATTTTTAGGGACTGAGGCTTTTGTTGTAAAATTTTAATGCTACAGTTTGAACGTAATTTGATGTCATGCTCTATACTCGCGGTGATCATGATGAAGTTAGCTGAACACGCGTCGTAAAAGGTCTTTGAATAAGCAACGACGACGACGACGGCTGCAACGAGAGATAACTCTAAAGGACTGTATCTAAGTTCAGAAGAAGAAAAGGAAAGTTGTTGTCTTGTGTTCACATCTTCCACAAAACGTTTAACTAGAAAGTTTCACGTTGTAATCGTGCAACAACTCCAAAGAAATGTACAAAAATGCGTGATGCACGTGCAAAATTTGTAGTTCTTTTGCTTTGTTGCCGTTCTCGTTGCCATCGCCGTCGTTGTTGCTTAAACTGTCCCTAATTTCTTTTTACGAAGTGATGTTCATTCGAGAAGCACCATCAGATATTAAGCATTTGTTTTAGGTGGCTGAGATTAAACATAGAAGCGCCATTAATATGTACAGACTTCACCTCCTCAATGCGTATCAGGTGAGTTTTGAACTGTTGTTGTTGTGAGGATGAGTTCTTTACCTTCATGAAAAACTTTTTAGTTATTGTCATCGAATCCTTAACTAATTAGCCTCCCTTGCAGACGTTCTTTTGGCTTGTCACGTCCCTAAGAACGTTTGCGTGGGAGGCTATTAACTAATGTCTGTCAATCGTTTGCCGTTTGCTCGCCGTTCATTTGTTCGCTTAGACATTGGTAAATCGAAGTGTTTGTGCTTAATTTAAAGACTTACCTTTTTAGGAAATTTATTGACAGTGTTTTAATTTATTATTACATTTTAATGGTTTATATCTTCTTAATTTTAACTTTTATGTATTTATTTTTTTTATGTTACTTTTGATATTATTGTAAAGTCCCACGAACAACCAGTGGATGTGAGCGCTATAGAAATGTTTTATTGGATTATGATTGTGATGATGATTATGATTATTAGTGGTATGATGATGATGATGACTATTATTACCTGGCGTTAGGCCTTGACACAAATGTCACGTAAAATCGTTTAAATATCTTTCCGGAAATTATCAAAAAAGATGTCTAAATATCCCAAAAAAGTTTCGAAAAATCTCGAAAAATCCTCTAAATGTATCGAAATATCTCGTATTTTTGTTTTAAAAATAAGCCGATTTTGAATCCCATAGGCCAAAATTTTCCCCAGCGGGATGTAAAAAGTATGTCAGAGATTGTCTACACTGGTATTATGGAAATAAAGCAACTTTTAAAACAACATGGATGCAAAGTTTAATGTTTTCTCACGAATGGGTCAAACAGTTGGTATGACGGTCTATCATGAGTATGACGACTATGACTATGACAGAGTAACAATCCTTCCTGTTAATACACATATCCACTCTTCTTTAAGAGAATAAAATGTAACCTGAAGAAACCTCTGAGACTGAAAACTTAACAAAAGGCGGAAACATACTATACCGACTTTGAACTATAAATGTGACCGTAAATTGGCGTAAATTTACTCCAATTTACGGATATGGAATACATTATTCAAGTGGGAAACCGCTGAACTGGATTATTTCTAGCATAGAATCAAAGGACGGAGTATTCTGCCAAGAAAATAGCGAGGAAAAGCTGGAAAATAGCAAAAAAGGCTATAAATTTTTCTGAACATCCCAAAATTTTCTAAATATCTTGGAAAATTCTAAATATCTCAAAAAATATACGGATATTTGTGTCAAGGCCTACCTGGAGTTTATTGTTAGGACCAGCAGCCGATAAAAACCCAGAGCGAGCAACTATCATGTACTCGTGTCACGGCGTTTTCACCGACCAGCTTATTTTTAGAACGATTTTGGCTCGAAGTTAGGATATCTTTTGAGTCCCACAAACCAGTCAGCAAATCCTTGAGAACTTAAAATGGTATTTTCGACCTTTTAATGACGTGTAGTTTTCATTTTTCATAGTTATACAGTTGAACCTCCCAACCTCCATCAATTGGGCGCTCAGTGGAGGGTGGCATCTAAATAGAGGTTCGTAATAAATGAGCATAATCTCTATCAAAAACATCACTTTATTTTGAAACACGTACGGATCCACAAACATTTGTCACCTTCTATCTCGAACCGTATTTTCCTTCATCAAATTTGTTAAATAAAGCCAAACTGAGTGTATCAAGCGCTTGATGGCTGCTTAAAGGAAACAACAACAGTTAGGAGAACCCTTCTGGTGGCTGCGGCCGCTTGATGGAGATGGCCGCTTAATGAAGGTTTGATTGACAATTCTTGTCAGTAAATTATTTATAGACTTTGAATACTGGCTGCTTGATAGATTGTGGCCACTTAATGGAGGTTCAAGTGTACTTCGAATGCGCTCATAGACGGAGCAGCGCTTCCGTTTACGCGTGTTAAAAGTTCTCTAAAATGTGTCTGAAAATAAACCGGTCCGTGAAAACGCCTTAACATATCCTTAGTATGGGAGTTGCTGGATTCCGTTTAAAGTCAGCTGAAACAAAACTATAGTTTTGGACTGGTGTGCATCCCTTACTACACTGTACTTACGTTATCTATTCTACCAGTAAGAGAACTAAAGTTTCTTCTGGACATCTGACAAGTTGACCAACAGGGTGTTAATTTTTATAGTTAATAGCATGATTTGTAGTGATATTTGGCGTAAATACCACGAGTGATATTTCGAAATTGTTATGTGTAATTTCACGAGCCGTTAGGCGAGTGAAATTTGAGACAATTTTGAAATATCAGGAGTGGTATTTATGCCAAATATCACGTACAAATCATGCTATTATATGTTATACCACACCCGCAAAAGGTTTGTAATTTTCACATGTAGGTAGTTCAAATTTAAGCTGAAATACCACTGCTCTAAGCCAATCAAATTGCAGAAATATCTCATGTAGTGGTATAAACAGTGGAACCTCGATATAACGAAGGGCCAAGTTACTGACAAAATTTGTTCGCTATAACGAGGTTTCGTTATATCGAGGTTCTTTTTCATATATTTTACTGTTACTGGGGTAAAGAAAATTGTTCGTTATACTGAGGTTTCACTGTATTGGCTCACTGAATTTTTTTTACGTATGTAACCATCATGACCCTCTTTCCACAGAATCAAATGGACCCTCAAGTACAAGAAGCCATTCAGATGATAGTTAAATTAAGGAGTAGTGAACAGTTTTGCTGACAATATTATTTAAACGTTACAGCTGGCAATACAGTAAAATTTTGGCAATTAAGAGTCGGTGACAAAGTTGTAAGACTTCCAGCTTTTATGACTCAAGGTGATTGGTCTTTACAGGCCAGAATGCTTGCATCACTGACGTGTAACTGAAATCACAAGCCAATGTGCGTGAAAAGAGCCTATAGCCAAACCGTATTAAGAATACTCGTCCCATATAATTTGGATTTCATTCACTATCTGTGCAAATATTGGAAGATTTACCAGTTGATAAAGCTTTTTACTTACTTTCCGCACTTTATAACCCACTACAGATGACGTGAATATGAAAGATTTACCAGAGAACATACGTGTAATATTGCTTTATTACCTTGAGACTTTTTGAATATCACAAGTCAGAAAAAAAAAGACAAGGTATTTTTTTATTTATTTTTCGAAGCTGAAAACGAAATTTGAATTTAGCGGGCAATTATGTCTTTGAGTTATAGTTTTGTCATTTCTAAGGTATTCTGTATTTTTAGAATCTTTTAGTGTGTATGAAAGGTTTCAGTACTCTATTTGACATTTTGCAGACCGGCTTAGAATGTGCGCTCGGTATATGTTTATAGTTGTAGTACCTCATTAATACAATCAGCGTATAGATATTTTTTTTATCCAATTTATATTTTCCTTTCATTAACTTTATTTTTTTAAAGTTACAAGTTCTTTTTATCGTGTATTTTGAGGTTGCGAGTTCTTTGTCGAATTTTTTAATGTAAACGAATCTTCAGGTTGTGTCTTCTTACTAAGTAAATGTAAGACAATAACTTAAGCTTGAAGTGTTTATTGAACTATGGCAAAGATCAGAAGTGCTGTACAGAACGATACATCCATGCATGGGTTTTCAAGCTAAATATTTACACTTCTCATATGGCTTACAGTAATGGATGTCCTAGTCCTGGTTCTTTCCAAACTACCCAAAGTATGGTCGTTACAAGCAAAACGCATTAACAGGTCATTCAGAGGATGCCTTCACTCAAGATTTATTGAGGCTTGCATTGTCTTTGAATGACGGCCTTACTTTAAGGAGTTCCGATACAGTTTTTCGGAGGCCATAACGATATTCTCTAATCGTTTTAAAAGGGATTTTATCCTCGTTCGATCGCTATGAAATTTTTACCAATGTTTGAGTATGAATTGAAGTTTGTCAAAATGCAGTTTGAAGTAAAATCGATATCTATTAATAATAACAATAAACAAAACCCTTGAAATCGATAAAAGCCGAATTTTACACGATCTAGACCTGCTACTGTAAAGCTGACACCAGGAACTTAAAGTGTGGCGTTAATCTAATAACCTCTATGAGAACTAAAAAATTATGTATGTTTGAACTACTGGTTACCACACCGATATTTTCCAATCGCCTTAAAAGTGATTTTATCCTTGTCCGGTCAACATAACTGACCTTGGATTGAAGTTTGTTAAAATATCCTTTTTTATATATATATATATGTAGTTTTAATTGAAATGAATAAGTAACAACGAAAGACGAATTTTGTGACAACTGGGCCTGCCATTGAAAAGTCAACACCAGGGCCGCATTGTCCAAAGCAGGGTTAAGATAACCCAAGGTTTGCGCGAAATTTGAATTCAGGTACGAAATGTTAAAAAGTAAATTCAGTTTAATTCTTTTTGTGTACAAAAAGTGATCACAATCTTATTTACACTGCTATGTGGTTACAATGTCCAAAATTCCGTCCTAGAACAGTTTTAAAGCGCCACTTCAAGCATTATGACCCAGGATCATTTTCAGCTGACATTTATACAGTTCCCTTCCATGTTGCACATGGAACTGTTATCCAGCGGACTGGACGTGCATGTTCCAGTCAAGAGATCCATATCTAACCGTCGGCATGTGCCATTCATGACACCAGAACTACTTGGCTCATTTCGTCACCGTAACAAACTAAGAAAACTATGCTTTAATTCCAAGGATCCTGGGGACTGGGAGAAATACAGACTTCAGCGTGATCTTCCTTCATCGTCAAGACGAAAATAAATTTCAAGCTATCTCCGGTGAAGAGCAGACAGTTCCAAAGGTGATCCAAGACAATTCTGGCATACAATTAAGCTCTCTATGCATTGGAAACGAAGAAACAATGAAGGGACTTGTGACTGACAAGAAGCAAGTACCTGAGATCTTCAACCACTATTTTTCTCGTACTCAAAATGTAGGTGGAGGACATGATAGTGATCCTAATGCTCAGGTGAATGTTGCTGTGGACATTAGTGTTCACCCAAGCATTGCAGCTATAAGAGACGAATGGGTGCTGGCTGCTCAGTTTGAGTTTAATCACGTCTCAAAGGCCGAAACTCAGTTAATTCTTAAGTCCTTAGATCCCAATAAAGCTACTGGTCATGATCAGATTCCTGCTCGTGTCTTACAGGATGGAGCCTCAGTTTTGGCTTGTCCTGTTGCGCGACTGATTAACACTGTTACCGATAATGCTTGTGTTCCTGCTGAATGGAAATCAGCGGAGATCTGTCCTCCAAATGCAGGCCTGTATTCATCCTAGTAACGTTGGACAAGGTTTTCGAGAGATGTGTGCAAAAACAGCTTGTTCACTACTTCAACCCGTATTTGTCTAAGTTCTGGTCAGCATATAGAAAAGGTTGCAGTTGCAAGTCTGTGTTGTTGCATCTTATCGAGGACTGGAAAGGAGCCCTTGACAAGAATTCTGTGGTTGGGACTGTAATGGACTTAAGTAAGGCTTTTGATTTGATACCACACGACTTATTACTTGCGAAGCTTTCTGCTTATGGTATTTCTACCCATAGTTCAAACTTACCGAAGAGTTATTTAACAAATCACGAGCAACGGGTTCGAGTGGAGGAGGTTACAAGTGATACCTCATATGTTAACAGCAATGTTCCCCAAGGCTCCGTTTTAGGGTCCTCATTGTTTAATGTCTTCATAAATGACTTATTTTATTTCGTCAACGAGTCGAAGCTGTCTAGCTATGCTGATGATAATCAGCTGTATTTTGCTGATACTGATCCAGCTGTTGTCGAACATGTTCTCAATATGGAACGTGTGGTGGGGTGTGAGTGGTTTCGTAATAACAAGATGATCTTGAACCCTGAAAAATGCAAGGCGCTGGTTCTCTCGTGAAAACCTAATGTCAAGCTATCACTATTTGCTGAAGGTTTTGCCTTACTACCAGTTGATAGGGAAGATCTGTTTGGGCTAACATTGGACGATTCCCTGAATTTCGGAAAACACATTACGAGAATTAGCAAGAAAGTTGGAAAGAGATGTTCTTTGCAGACTAAAACATATATTATCGTTTCGGACCAAACTCTGCCTTTATAATTCGTTCATAATGCCTCATTTTCATTACTGTTCCTCGATATGGCATCATTTAAAGTCTGATAGTAAAAAAATGGATAGGTTGCATGAACAAGCACTTCGCTACTTGTACGGTGACGAGTCTTCACAAACTAGCACTCTTTTTTATCGTATTGGTTACAGCCTTGTGGATCGACGTATCGAGAACTTGTTTATTTATGGTATTTAAGACAATAAACAATTATCCACCTGAATATCTGAGAGACCTATTTAGGTAAGAGACAACATCAAAAACCTGAGAGGGGTTAACAAGTACCGAAAACTAATAGAGCGAGAAAGAAAGAGAGAGAGACCTTTATTTATTCATATCAGGGTAGTCCATTCAGACGCCTTAGCCACTGCTATCAATTGGGGCCCGAATAAAGATTAAAATGATAAAAATAATAAAAACTATACAATTATACTAAAATGCTCATAAAAAATTAATAAATATACTAAAAGTTAATCTTAAAATATGGACTATATACAGTTACAGTAAACATGAATAAAATCTTAAAAAATAAAAAATTCACCCCATTAAAAATTACAGAACCATTGTAATAAAAAGAGTTTTTAGCTGAGTCAGTTCTAACCCTTGGCAGGTGTAACATGTTCATTTGCCTCGTAATTCGATTGTGGACAGAACCGTTGAAAGTAAAATAGTTTTGAAAAAAATGCGGGCATTGTCCTTTAATGCATCTCTTGACGAGGTCATTAACATAGCTGACTCTCGTCTATTTACCAGAGAAGGCCACTTAAGATAATCCAAAGCTCTGTCACTGTAGCTCATTTTTGAAACAATTTTAGTGGCACGTCTTTGAAGCCTCTCTAGTGAAGATCTCTTGCCAAATCCGCAGCAGTTCCACACAGTGTCACAATAATCCATGATAGGACGAATAATTATAAGCTGTGTAAATGGAATTAGCACAGACTGATGTAAGATTCCCTCTAATGCGCCCTAGCATTCCCAGTTGTTTACCAGCTCGGGATAATACATACTTAACATGAGAATTCCAAGAAATATGTTCATCGAATACAACTCCTAAATATTTGAATTCAAAAACACACTTAATAGGTCGGCCCTTGAACGTTACACCAAAATCTGCGTCAGAAAGTCTAGGGTGAGCTCTGAACAACATAGCTTCAGTCTTAACCGCGTCTAAGATCTTCATTGAGACTTTAATCGATTGTAGCAGCAACCTTTCCAGAATAGAATAAGACAGTGTCGTCGGCATACATTAGCATACTACACTTGCGGGCAACGGTGGGTAAATCGTTCACGTGGAGCACAAATAACAGCAGGGATTGGTTCGCAGTGTCGAAGGCCTTGCGGAAGTCTATAAAATCTAACCTTGATCAATGTTACGTCTTTTTTTGTATCAGCTAAAGATAATGCCGCAAATTCCGTAGAATGCTGTTTCCTGAAACCACACTGGTATGGGCTCAAAATGTTATGGTCTCGTAAATGATCACATGGTTGCACATGAACAGTCCTCTTCAGCAGTTTAGAGACAGTCTGTAAAATTGAAATGGGCCTGTAATTATCTATATCCTCCCTCTTTCCCTCCCTCTTTTTAAACAAGGGAATCACACGTGCTGCTTTCCAAGCATCTGGAACTTTACTTTGCCGCAGAGAAGCATTAATAATCGCTGTAAGAGACTTCGTGATAATAGCAGCACTGTCTTAAGAAGACGCGGTGGAATGTCGTCCAGGCCAACGCCCTTTAAGTTGTTTCAGGACGATACTTTCTGTCACTTCAGTGAACTGAAATACAGGGTGACAATGCGTCACAGGTAAGCTAGAGCTTCTACAGGCTCAACTACTGCACGCTGAAGCCACAAAACTCCTAAGGGAGTCTACCAGGCATGATACAGCGTTTGTGAAGTATTTATGAAATGCATTAGCAATTGAACGCTTGTCACTGGAAAGATTGTTCCCGATCTTTATAGTTGTGATCTTGGAATTTATCTCTCTAAACACCATTCCATCAGCAACTCTGTGGAAAATCTTTTTTTAAGGCTTTTCTTTTTCAGATATCTCAGGAGCGGCTTAATAATAGTTTATATAATGTAATCCCCAGGATGTGAACAATAATGAGTCAACAACAACAACAACAACATAAGCTTTATTTGCATGACTATAATTAGGCAGTTAATTAGGTAGTTACAGTATTGCAAAAGCTTAAACATAAAGTTACAATTTATAACAATGATAATTCAATGCAATGATTACCACAGTCACTCAAGTGTCATAAGCATGATTTGGTAATAAATTAGTATGTCAAACTTTCATAAACACACTGATTCACTGCAACAACTTCAAATTCCAAGCCGAACCAATCTGCGTTGTGATATTCGCACTGTTTTGACGTTAAGCTAATTCTTTCAAATTAGTGCGCAGTACATACC